CTTCAGGATCTGGCCTTCTAAAGGGCAGTCGGGGTTGACCTCTTCTAGGACTGACCGATTGGATGGCCTTGCAGTCCAAGGGACTCAATGCAGGAGTCTTCTCCTCCAGCACCAGACTTCAAAGGCCTCCATTCTTTAGCACTCAGTCCAATTTTTAAAAAAAGACCTTCAAAGGGAACATTTGTAAGTTCCTTAAGGGCAGCCTTCTGATTGATTATAACATTTATATTCCCGGGAGATCTAGAAGGTTGACAGCAGTTAAAAGGTAGATTAACTCCACCGCCTCTCTTTTCCAGAAGGACCTCTTTCCTAACACATGAAAAGAAGGTAGAAAGACGCTCGCAGAGGGAGCAGGTTGGTCCTTGACTTAGGAAAATAAGTGAGTCCCTAATTATTTCCATTGCTAAACAAGGCCGTTGTTGTATGAGTTTTGCTCTGTTTAAGACCTTTCTTAAGGCCATGGTTTTTAAGCGAATCGCTGCGGTCATTAAGTGAAACTGGCTTTCCCCCCCACTGACTTTGCTTTGCAGAAGCCAACCTGTGAAGGCCACCAAGAGTGTTCAATGATGCCAGAACAATTTTATTTATTTAGAAAATTGATATTGCTGCCTGCAGGGTGACTCAAGGCGGCTTACAGGACCTAAAAGCATGAGACAGAAGAAATAAAAATAATAAAAAAATAAAAAATAAACCTTCCTCCACCCCAATGGGGCTTCCACCACACAATGTGACTTCATAACTATGTGCCACTTGCCAGGGAATTCGTTGGAAATTCGGTGTGATTAATCTACCGTAACTATTTTGCACACCTAATGTGGCAAATGCTTTTGCATTACTGCTCTTTTGCATTTTTAGTTTTTAATAACTTTTAAGGATTGATACCTTCATATAGTTAGGCCATGCAACTGACAGATTGGATCAGTGGTGAAATTCTTTTTTTTTTTTTACTACTGGTTCTGTGAGTGTGGCTTGGTGGGTGTGGCAGGGGAAGGATACTGCAAAATCCCCATTTCCTCCCGATCATCTGGGACTCGGGAGGCAGAGAATAGAGGGGGGCGGGGCCAGCCAGTGGTGGTATTTGCCGGTTCAAAATCTCCGCTACCGGTTCTGCAGAACCAGTCGGAACCTGCTGAATTTCACCCTTGGGATTGGATGCCAAATTACAATTTTAATATAGATTTTATCTCTTGCTCATTATTTTATTTTAGAATTATTAACTGGATAAATTCCTGGAGTGTTTTGATTTGTTCTGGTCTCTGGTCTTTGACTGTAATAAATTTGATTTGATTTGATTTGCCCGGGGCCCGGATTTCGATCACAGAATTGTGGGGAGGCTGCAATGGTCATAAATCACCTTTCTCAGTGCCGTTGTAACTCCAAATGGTCACTAAATGGATGGCTGTAAGGGCTATTTGTCAGCCTCTATTTGAACCGCTGAACTGCAGATAACAGTCAGCTGAAGTGGCCTGCAGTACTGGCACCCTAACCACTGCGCCACTTCGGCTCCTTGGCGGTTGTTCTTTCTTGGATTTTGAATGAGGCACACCTGGCACTGCCTGTGTTATGCTATCAGGAGGCCTGAACCCCCTCGGCACAGAAGGAGGACCTCCGACTCACCTGTTCTTGTGGCCAGCTCTGCCTGTCCTCCGGAGTCTTGGACTTGGTTTTGAAGCCTCTCGGGGCATCTCCGAGTTGCTTGGAGGCTGGAGGGATGTTCAAGGATTTGGGCCGCCCCAGATGCCGGTTGGCCGCATGGCCGGACTCTCCCTTGGGACACGTCTCTGCATAGTCATTGGGCACGTTCTCAGTCCCATCGTGTTCCGGGCTCATTTCCGATGCGCTGTTAATGCTGTTCATACTCATGCTCATCTTGATCTCCGCCACAATCTGGTCGATGTCTTCCTCCTGTTCCTCCAGATCCCCCTCTTCGCTCCTGCCATGGTACGGGGACATCCGGCGGGAGTTGCCGTTGGCTTCCGGGGAGTAGTAACCCCCTTCGCTGGGATGGCAATACTGGAGGCTCTCGTCTTGATCCTGGATTTCTAGGCAGGCCACCTCGCTTTCCAAAATCTGGATGCAGCCTTCGTGGTAGCCCACCGCTTCGGCCACGTTATCCTGGTGCTGAATCTTGGTCTCCACCCATTCTCCCTCCTCAATAGCTTCCTGGCACTCGTCCGTCTCTACGTGATGCTCTTCTTGGGGGACATACTCTTCCCCGTTGCAGTCCATCCCTTCCAGGTAGCTGTCATCCTCCGGACAATATCGGATATAGTAGGTGATTCCTTCCTCTTCCTCTGGAAGTCCTTCATCGTAATCCTCCTCTTCCGAAGTGTTGTTGACATAATCTGAACTAGAGTCCCCGTCCGCGCTGTTGTCGATATGCTCAGAGTCGACTGGGGGGAAGCCACCTGGACCAACTGAGATCGCGTCCATCACCTTCTCCACATAGTCTTCCCCAGGCAAAGGACTTTTGGCCTTTTCGGCTGCTTGGCCATGGGGAGAAGAAGGGCAGGCTCTTGTCCGGTGATCCAGCATGGTCGCCGTGGTGCTTTGGCATTTCCTGTTTGCCATGGTGGACATCTTAAACGGCAGTCATGTCTTTGCTCTGGCTGCGGAAAGAGTGAAATGGAAATAAGAATTACAATTAAGAATTGCCCAAAAGGAGAGCAACAACAACGCTACCAGGCGGTGCTAAAACGAAGGGTTTCAATTTATCCAGGGTGGTGGGTTGCAATAGTCATAACCAGGTTTCATGACTTACTCCAATACTTGGGTACTTGAGAGACCGCCTNCAATAAGCAGATTTTTAAAGGTGGTTTGTGGCATATTGCGTTGCCTTTTTTTTAGAGCTGCTTTATAAATAGATTATGTGCCAGGTGTGCACATTTGCCCGGCACATGAGAAATCAGCTTTAAAAGATTGTACACACAGAGTTTTCCAAAAGCTGTATTACCATGCACCCACAGACCTCTGCAATGATTACACCTGGCTAGAAGATAAAACATCCCGTCAATCATTTCAGCAGATAGTCAAGGGAAGCTTTTCCTCCCCCCCCACTCCTCAAAATGTCAGCAGCATCTTTTATTATTATTAGCCCTACTCCTTCGGTGCCAAGAGAACTATATTTTCAATTTAATCTCCCTCCCCTGTCATGAAGGATATTAAAGCTAAACAGGGGACTTGACTTACAGGCGTTTTTCCCTTTCGGTCTGGAGCTAAAACATCACCATTGGCAGAAATCTCCTTCAGGTGGTTCCCAGACACGAGGATGGATTAGGTAAGCAGAGCAGGAAATCAGAGGTTGCCACCACCTGCCCGTTTTCTATGCCTTCAAGGGGCTTATGGGTCAAGGAACCCACCCTCATGCGGTGGGCTCTCTCCTGAGGACCTTCTTCTGGAGAGAAGCTCCACACACTGACTTGGAGTGGACGACCTTTGAAAGACTGGGAACAGCAACATAGCCTCCTGATCTTCTGGAGGACATCAGGAGACCATCTAATGCATGTCTTCAGAAGGAGCTGGCTCTGCTTCCTAGCTTTTTTTTGGTAGGATTCAGGGTCAGAAGCTGAACTGGAGAACTTCCAGAGGGAGGCAAACTGCTCTGATTCCCATCTTCACCATCCCCCCAAAGTTTAAGAAATCAGTCAAAAGTAGATGTCAATTCCACCACCTTGTGATTCTGTTTTGGTGGCATGAGCTGGGACATATCTCTGTGCTTTCCCCATGCCTGCCCCACAGCACTTTTTCTTCTGCTGAGGGGGTCACTCCTTAGGACTAGGCCAGTGGTTCCCAAACTTGGCAACTTTAAGACTTGTGGACTTCAACTCCCAGAATTCTCCAGNCTATTTCTATTCTATTCTTCATTCCTCTATTCTATTCTATTTCTATTTCTATTTCTATTTCTATTTCTATTCCTATTCCTATTCCTATTTCTATTCTTCATTCTTCTATTTCTATTTCTATTCTATTCTATTCTATTCTACCAACTTTGGCCAGCTAGAAGGATGGAAACTTGGAAGTTGCGTACTGCACAGCTTCGGCAGAGGGGGGCAAACAGATCGAGCCACCTCTGCCCATCTTCGGAAGCAGCCCTGTGATTTCCCTAGCCAGCTTCCCAACAAGCGAAGTCAAGGGGGCAGACTGGGATTCACTCATCGACCATTGGATTCACTTATCAGCTGCAATGATTTGCTTAATGACCATGGCAGAAAGGGTTGTGAAGTTAGGCACGTCTCACTTAACAACTGCTTCGCCTAGCAACGGAAACACCAGTCCCAATTGTGGTCATAAGTCTCGGACTCCCTGTACAGTACGTTGTGTAGGGGACACACGAACGAGAGAGAGAGAGGTGCCAGCTCCTGCTTCTCCGGCATTTTGAGGTGTAAAATGTTTTCAGTCTCATTTTGCCATTTTTAGAGAAAGTCTAGCAAGAGTCTCTGCCAGCTTCCCTTTTAAGCTCAGCTCTTTTCTCAGCTGGCTTCTCCCCCAGCAACTGCTGATGTTTCTACTTTCAGGCACATTCCGCGTCCAATCAGCACTGAGGCTGTATTTTTTTACTGCATCTCTTCCCATCAAGACTATTCAACTCCTAAAATAAAGATTTCACGTGTGCAACTGGAAAACTACGAGCCGGACTTGAATAAAAGATTGCCAGGGTTCAAAAAAAAACAACACCACCCCCAACGAAATAAAACTCCGAGTCTTGTGTTTCCTCAAAGTCCCACTTTATTAGAGATGTCGTGTTGGCACATCTGGGAAAACCGAATCTGAAAGCTTCCCAGTTTTTGCACCCAGTTGAAAGTTCAAGATCCCACCCCAAACACCCCCCCAAGTTCATCACATGGTCCAATCTTCCCCTGCTACAAAGACAGATTCCACCCATCCAGTTCCGGCCAGGTGCAGAGACAAAGATGACCTTGACTTCCTAAGAAGAATGTTATTATGGCTACATATCATCTAGCTCCGTATAATCACCCCTCCCATTTTCCCACCATCGAAAATGAATAGTAGAAAGTGAGGCGGGGCCTGAAGTCCAAAAAGAGCCGAGGTGGCGCAGTGGTTAGGGTGCAGTACTGCAGGCCACATCAGCTGATTGCTATCTGCAGTTCAGCGGTTCAAATCTCACTGGCTCAGGGTTGACTCANGTTGGGTTGGGTTGGGTTGGGTTGGGTTGAATTGAGAAATAACAATCTCTTATTATTTCTCCCGGCAAGTGCTATTTTCTCAGCGGCTATATATATATTATTCGTAATTTTGTTCCATGGTTTTTAATCTTGTTTTTTTTAGTAGTGTTAGCAAACCAGGGAATACATATTTGAGACGAGCAGCCATACACATGGGCTAAATGAACAAACAACTAAATATTGCACCATTGTAAAAAAATCAGGAGGAAAATGTGATAGTTTTTCTCACATTCCTCCAAGCTCAGCAGCATCATTTTGCACACCAAAGCTCAAGTTGCGTTGCCCAGGGTGAATGCACCAAAATCAGTTTGGCCTTTGTTGGCCCTGTGCCTCTCCAGAGCACTGCTGCGGAGAGAATCACATTGCCAGAAGAAACAGAGTTAAAGGTCTCTTTCTTTCGTGAGGTTTGGAATTATCATTCCTGAAAAACAAAAAAAAGCTTTTCTGCAATGAGAGAGTAGCAGTGAGCCTCCCATTAACTCCCCCCCACCCCGCCCTCCAAGAATGATAATTGCACAGCAATTAAAAGCAGCAAGTCCTATCGATTAGTTATACCTGAATCATGCATCCAAGAGACCAAAGGAAATCAATGCATAACTTGATTTCTTAATTTCTTTGCAGTCCAATTCGAGGCACAGAAACGAGATGGTCTCATAGAACAGACTGCATCGTTAGCATGAAAAAACTCACCACTCCATAAGTTTCCCAATTTTTTTTTTTGGCAATTAAAAGAAATGGTAATGACATGAAAGCATTGGTACAAAAGTTGGCAAAGAGCATGGATCTCTTCCCCCGCCCCCCCCAACCATAAGATTTTTAACATTCTTTGGCTTTTTCTGGATGGCGCCTGAAGCCATCCTTGTCTGGTTAACCCTCTACATTATTTTTTCTACAGGATATACTTTTCTTCTGAGGGGAGGCCGCCTGTCAGGCCTTCGGCATCTTTTCCTTTGGATCTTTGGCCTGCCACACTTTCTATTATTCTACTGTGCATTTTCTATTGTGGGAAAATGCAGGGGGGGTGTTGTATGGAGTGAACCTGGCTGTTCCGACAGGCCTGGGGTTGCTGATCTATAAATCAGGTCCAACCCCCAGCTAAGCCAAATGTATGTTGTGTTTTTTAAATTGTTTTTTGTTTTTCTCTCCTATTTGTAATTTAATTTTATTTTGTATTTGTAAGCCCGTGACCCGTCAAAACCGCGGTCCACTAAAGCGCGCCCGATTAAAGCGCGTACCTGACGTCATCAGCAGCGCGACATATAAGCTCATTAAATTACGAATTATAATTATTGAGATGCTATGTAGCCATAACAACATTCTTTCTAGAAAGCCAAGGTCGTTCTTTGTCTTTGTATCTCCACACCTGACCAGAACTGGATGGGTGGAAGCTGCCAGCATGGCAGTGGGAGATTGGACCATGGGATGGATTTGTGGGTGTGGGGGGGGGCAAGATCTTGACCTTTCAGCTGGGTGGGGAAAACCGGGAAGCTTTCAGATTCGGGTTTTCCCAGATGTGCCAACGTGG